TATAATTTATTTTTTATAAAAGAAGCTTTTTTATACAAGAAAACTATTAACATAAAATATTCCCGTTGAAGCTATTAAATTATTATCTAAAATAAATTTATTATCTAATTAACTATTATTCGGATAGGATTCAGATAGTAAATCTTCATATCCTAAAAGAAAAAAACTTTTGAACCTTATATATAAGCTGAATCATCTTATACATAAATGTAATAAAAATAAGAATAAAGGAATTTAATTTAAGTATTTTGAAAATACATTTCAATATATCAAAGTAGATTATATTAAAATTGTTTATTCAAATTTATAGGAATTTATTCAAATTTATAGGAATAAATTAAAAACAGTTTATATATATGTATGTATATACGTACATGTATCCATTCTCGGTGATATATTAAAAAGCATTATGACAAACTAATAAATTCAAGCTCAAAATCGTATCAGCATTATGATACCCGTTACCATAGTAACAAATTACCATCGAAGCTGAGAAATGTTCTGCAATTCAGATAATGGCCTTGGCATACGTTCAATGCGTGTTGAATATCGTTTTCGTACACAATCAACAAATTTTGAAACAATGGACGTGATTCCTTATCACGAATTAATAGTTAAAAAGACTATAATATGCCATTGGTAAAAATACTAATTATGATAAACAATTAAAAATATTACAAACACATTAAAGAAAATACATTATCAAACGTGTATGTGCATGTATTATTTATATATTATACATTGTACATATTATATATTGTATATATTATACAATATATGGAAAATTTATATGTTCAACTCTGTTAATAAAATTGAAATCATAGAATTGAAAAATGGAAAAGTGTTTTAATGGAAAAAAAGAAATAGAATGTGTTTTGCCATAAATAATACGTTTAACAAATTTCAGTCTAATACCAATTATATACGTATGTATGATTATTAATATATTGCTGTGAAACCCTTCACAATTTACTGATAAATTAACATTAATTAACATTAATTAATAAATTAATAATAATTTATAAAGATAAGTTAAAAATGATAAATAATTAATTATATACATTATAATGCTATATAATTATATTTTATTATGATGCTATATTTTATTCTTTTATTTATATAATATAAGTACATATATACATATATGTACATAAGTATTATATATATATATATAAACTTAGCGTGTTCTTAATTAATTATTATTATTAATGAGATAGAAAGTAATATAGTCAAAATAGTCCATTTTGATGTACTAATATATAAATTAAATTAAATATCATACTAAAATATGAATTACTTACTTAATATTGTGATAAATTAAATGCACTATTATATACTCAAAATTTAATTTAATAATTTATATTATTTAATATATATTAATATTATAATTTATTATAATAGTAATATATATTTATTATATTATATTATTATTACAATATATATTAGATTTATTAATTTATTATATATTCAAAATAAATTCAATTTAAATTCAAATAATTACTATTATAAAAAGGTATACATACAATTGTCTCCTATATACAGTACTTACTACATATTTATATTTTAATGGCAAAGAATAATTAACAACTAAACTTTCATGAAATCTGTATCATAAAATTTTCATATATCATATGTTATATGTTTTCTATTATTATTAATTATTAAGTAGGTACTACTAATTGTAAGTACATAAGAAAAAATGCAACGTAAGGAAAATCAACCAAAAAAGAGAAAAACATTTTGTCTTATTTAATTTTATTTGTGAAACGATTTTATATTCTAAGAATATTTTTATCAATTCTGTGTATGACATCACTGTTTGGAAATTCCAAATACCTTATGAATCCTTTTACTTTGTTCTGTTAAAAGCAGATTTCTGTGCTTCTTGGATATAAAATTTTTTCTATGAAATTCCATAACAGTTTCTTACATTATGAAAATGTTCAATTAATAATCATTAATTATTGAAATTCATTGATATTCAAATAAATAAAGAATAAACAAAATACAATAAACATTTATTATTATTAAGCTAGTAGTAATTAATGATTTATCAATAAAATATTAACTCAGCCTGTACTGTAAAATTAAATGGGTTAATTGTTTCTAGCTTTTAGAGTTATGTTCAAATATCATTAAACATCCTGTATATTAGCACGTATTCAAAGTCTATTTAAACAATATTTGAATATCTGATTAGAGAGATTATGTATGGATAGACGCATTATAAAATTCTTGTAATCCAGAAGGAGAAATTGTTGGTGCGCAATAATGAAAGCATAGCTGGTGAAAAGTACTGGGGGAGCGTCAGGATGCTCGGCGCCACATTGCTGCGACCCAAATAGTAATAATACTGTCGGTGAAGGAGGGTCGGAGACGCTGTTGTAAGTGATGGAGGACGTGGAAGAATGACCGTACATCACCTACATTTGCTTGAATCTTAGACGTAGTCAACCATTTCTGCGTAATATCATTATTCGCTGCTTGAGCCGAAGATTTTAAAAGTCTTCAAATGGCACTCATTTAATTTCCTATATGTCTTCGTTCTTTCGCGGTGACAAATGTATTCGTATTTAAACACCTATTTAAAAATATGTATTTTTTTTTTTTTTGGTATGTGAACACTTTCTTTATTCTTATATCTTAAAAATGATATCTTAATTGGAAAAATTGTATTTTCCCTTTTTAACTTATTTCTGTATGTAGAATCATCTCTGTTATATTATAAAAACTGAAACATCGTACATGCAGTTATCCAATTTTAATTTGTAAATGTGAATTACTCATTACACAAAAAAAATAGTTCTAATGAGAAATAAATGATGTCAAGGATACAATTTGGTGTAAGTTGGTTTTTTGTAAACGTGCGTAGAGATCAAGGTCATCTCTACAACTTTAAATGGAATGATATATGTATATTTTAATAACTAATCAATGCAACATATTATTTTCTATAAAATCTCATCAACTAAGTTACTTATATCAAAAAATTATTAGTTCAGAAGATATTTTAACCTTAAGTCTTTCATACATTTTATAAACTAATAATTTTTCGACATACATAGATTAATATTTTTTTTATATAAAATGTCAAGTTGCATCAACTAATGGATCAAAAAAATATATCATTCTATTTAAAAATGTAGAAGTGCTCTTACACCAGACAAGCTACTTACATCAGATTATGATCCCTTTAAAACCATTCATTTCTTATTTGAACTATTCTTTTGTATAACAGGTAATATTCGTGTATTCATAAAAGAATTGATCAGAAAATATCATTCAACGAATAAGAATATAAATTATACATCGTAGATCCCATGAAAAGTGAAAAGTGTCGAAATTTTATTTTTAGACGGTGATTTATGTCTATGTGGCAGAAAGGAGAAAACAATTTCACGCACACACATATCGCCGAATATATCGAGACTATTTGCGTGGGATAGTGTTCATCGCGGGAAATATCCTGTTTTCCAGAAAAATGTCATATCGGGAAAGACATTAAGGGAGGAAGGAAGAAACTTCCCTCATGCTGATAAATCAGCCAACGACACTCGCGAAACGTCCCTTCGCGAAAAGTTTCACCAACCAAATGTAATAATAACCATGACGCAGGCGAATAGTTGGAATGTAGTTTGCCGAATGATTGTTTCTAACAATTCGTCGGTGGAAATAATCGACTTATTCGTTCATATTACGACTGCATGTATTGATTTTATAATTAGGAATTTTAACTAATGTAAAAAATTTGTTTAGCTTAATTAACAGTTTTATTATCGTTGATGTAAACTAAATAAAAAAAATTAGTAAAAAATCTTGTATTATGTGGACTACGGATATTTTTACATTTTTATAGTTTTTCTAAATGGAAAATTTTACTTCATAAGCGAAAAATTTTATTTTTTATGCTTTTATAAGCACAAACAAAGAAATGGTAAATTTGGAAGACAGAAATTATAATAAGAAATTATAATAAATATTATAATAAGTATTCCGCTTTAGATATTTAAACTCGAATTATGACCGGTAATGAAATTAGCTGCAATATTGGCAAAATATCAAAATATCTATAATATAAATCTGAATGCGTTCAGTCTAAATTAAAAAACATCAACTGCCAGTATAGTCATCTAATTATAAGTAATCAAAAACGTTCTTAAATAACAATGTTTTATTCATTAAAATAATTACCTTTACTCTCTTTCCCACAGGGATATAAGTTGATGAATTTTTGTTTTTATGAAATATCCAATCTTTAGAAATAAAATACCAATCGCTTCAGTCCCTATTTTATTGGTAAATATCTAAATCGTATATAATCGCATATAATTACTTTGTATATATATGTATAATCAATTAAATATAATGAATTTTGTTTTTATGAAATATCTTATCTTTAGATATTTAGAAATAAAATATCTACAAATATCTCCGCTTCAATACCTATTTTATTGGTAGATAAATCCTATATAATAGCATATAATCATTTTGTATATAATCATGTGAACTCGAGGAAAGAGAAGTACCAAAAGAAGCTGATAATTGTTAGAAGAAGTATGAAGAGGACATTGTTTATTATTTATTATTTTACTTATTGTTTTACATTAAAAAAATAAATTTTATTATATTGGTATTATATTTTAGTTCTAGTGAGTTACAGTTCTATTAACTAGTTTTATTTGTATAAGTTTCAAAAATTCACAATAACGTAATATTTTTCATTTATATTATATAAAGCTACCTTTTATTTTGTCATTCTTTTTTTTTTTTTTTTTTAATTTAAACAGCATTATTTTCATACACTTGTCACAGTTTCTCATACATATTTTTTTGAGTAATATATATACATTATTTTTATTACAATTATTATCTAGATCTTTATCGTAACATGTTAGTAATAAAATATTATTTTTCCAAACTCTGTTTGTGAGTGGTTAACCCTTATCGCGATGATCATTGAGACTCTTCTCCTTCTTTTTTTCGACAACACGTTTACGTCAAGTAGGATTTCTTACAAGGAAAACAATGAACTGACACAAAATATACAGAATGGTGAATGTCTCCAATGAAAATGTAGTAGATCGATTGCATCCTGTATTCTTGCATTCGCATACAAGTTGGTAACTGTCACGTGGATAACGACCTCTATAACATTCCTTGTCGGCGTTTCCAAATTTTGCACATTCGCGTATTATTATATAATCTCGAGAATTCATGAAATAATCTAAAAATTGCGTAATTGCATAACAATTTATTTTACATATATTACAGAAATGTCTCAGGAAATAAAAAAGTAATTATTTGATACAATGTGAACATTTATATTATGATTAACTTCATGAAGAGACTAAGGATTTTTGCAGATTTTATGCATTTCTCTACTTTTGTGAACGCAATTGAAAAAATGAAATTCACATAAAGACGTGTTTCATCTGTCAAATATTCTAATAAATTTTTTACTTTGGATATTTTAGAGATATGTTAGAGATTGGATATTTTAGAGAAATAAAATCTACATAGAAATTTGTTTCATCTATTAAATAAATTGTTTCATCTATTCATCTATTAAATAAATAATAAAAATTCCACTTTAGATATTGTATAGTTTCTCATATTCTACCCATTGTGTGCATTTTTTCAACTTCAAATTCTTATACAGTTATTCGTAAATATATAGTAAAATAAAAAAGTAATTATGCAATACAAATAATTAACTTAATATGATTAAATTTATAAATAAGAATACATAATGAAGAGCATAATTGTACCATTGACAATGAAAAATTGCTAATAATTTAGGAATTTTTCATAAAAAATTTAGAATTCTAATTTAGGAAACTTTGTAAAGGAAGATCATATAATGACTCATTCATTTTAGCCTGTAGTTTGATTGTCAGAAGTTCATCTTTTTTTTATATCGTGTAGTGGGAGAATAAACTTTTTTTTGTAAAAACTCAAATGTATATAAAAACGATAATAAATTTTTAGTGTGATTAGACTCACTATCATTTCAAAAATTGAAGTCTTTCTTTTACAACGATCTCTTTTCTTCGCTATTTCATTGAATATTGAATATTAAGCTTAAACAAGAAAAATCTAAAAAAATCCTAACATTTCATCATTTAATCCTAATTAGTTCAAAGTTCAATAAAATGGCAAAAAAAAAATTATGCAGCGAATTTTAAGGGATAAAGAAAATTCCAATCAATTATGATGGCTCTAGCCAACAAAATTAATTCTTTTACAAGTTTGAATTTTTACCACTTTTAAGAAAAAAGTATTGCATCTCGCATCTTTGAAAAAACTTCCAACTATCAAACTAGAGGTTTTATTCTTTAACTTTAATCCTTTAAGTATTGTAGGAGCATATGTGCGAAAAATAAAATCATCAAAGGTTAAGATAAGACTAAGCGATCAGATTATAATCTTTTTTCATGAGATTAAATCAATTATCGACAATTGGTCATTGGTAGAATTATGCTTTTCATTGTAACTAATACGAAGTAAAAGAGATGTGTATTATTAACTTACATATATACACAGCTTTACGACAAAATGGTTGTGATGCAAGACATGGCTTCAAATATTTGATATCTACCGAATTAATAGTGCAATCTTTATCCTTTTTGCTATTACATTGATAACATTTGATAGCTTTCGATTCTTTTTTATGCGTATCATCCGGTGCAAATTTATATAATGAGATCAATACAAATATTATGTCATTTATAAAGAACACATTTTAAACATTTAGATTCCTTATGCAATTCTTTATTCTTGTTTGTTATTTAAATTTATATTTATATTTAAAAAAACAGAATATTACAAAATTTAAAATAAATTTTGGTTTATTTTTACGGAACGATTGAAGCAACATATTCTAAAACAACACAAATTCATTTTTTGACTATATGAGTCTAATAATACTTGAAAGAATGCAAAAATTTTATTCTTAGTGGACAGTGTACAAAATATTTTAATTTTATAAAATTAATTGCACAAATTTAACAGTAATAACATCCAAAGAATGTAGATTTTATCAAAATTTTCAAAACTTTTAATAAATCACATGTGTATTTATGATTAATAGATGAAATACTTCTTGTGTTTTAGAAATAAAGAAATAGTTTTATCAGTGATCTGGACGTTAATCATATAATCTATTAATCATATAATTATATAAAACAAAAACTAATTCTACCACTAATTAAGATTAGATAAATATATTAAATTAGATAAATATAAGTATTATTATAATTTGCAAAATATCAAGATATGATAAAATCTAAATCTGTTGATCTATAACATAAATTAATATCTACTGATTAAAGGTAAATTGATTATATTAATAAAAATAAATAATTAATAAAATATCTATCGATCGATAACACAAATTATGACTTCGAAAGTGATATAGTAAATGAATACAATATTTATTTGTCAAACATCATTTTTAAAATAAAATTATCAGACTGCAGATATTTATACAAAATTCATATTTTTATAAACATAATTAGAGAAATATAAGCTAAATGGGATTGATTTCATTGTTTAATTATATGCATTATGCAAATTTTTATAGTTTTAAACTTTCCATAAATATCCGCAATCTAAATATCAATTATATATAATAATGTATATTAATTTCTAAATTAACATAAATTTATGATTTTAAAATATACTTTTCTATAAATTATGATACATATCAGGAAATTTGTTGCTTTCATACAAAATATGATAATTTATTCATTAAGTATTAAGAAGTTAATTAATTACTTTGTAGAAGGTAAAGATGTAGAATAATTAGGAACAAATTTTCAAACTTGTCTGATTTAAAAGTTATAGAAAAAAATAATGAATTATAAATTAGTACTAATAATTCTTTAATTTTAATCTTCATTAAGAAAAGTTTTAATGAATTTGAAAATTTAAAGAAGTCTGATAAAAAAGAAAAGTGTTATATTAATGATGAAAAAAAAAATTGGTGAGGCTTTTACTATAATACGTAGAATAAATTCTTCTTCTCATCTTTCTTTCAATTTCTGAATTTTAGACGAAACAATAATCTTAGGATTTTTAATAAAGTTTCACATTTTAGAAAATTCAATTCACGTTTTAATAAATTTCTGTTTTTTTTTTTCATGTTTTACGTTTTAGGAAATTTTTTAATACATATATTAGTATGTGTAAATAATATGCACAATATGTAATTAATGCAGAATTAAAGAAAATAAACCCAAAAAAATTTTTTTTTAGTTATTGGTTGTTTTACTGTGTAGTTTTGAAATTCATTGCTTCAATTATACTAACAGCCAGTACATATATGTTTGCATTCTACTATATTCATATTTGATAAACGTATATTCTGTTTTATCTACAATTGATAAATATGATATTTCTTTTAGAAAACTTACCTCTCTGAAATACAAATAAAAGTAACAGTACCTGCAATGCATTTATTTTCACATGCATTCTCAATTTCTTGGGTCTATTCACAGTTTATTTAAGCTTTTCACTAATTGCCAGATTTTCTTAAATTAAAGCCACGTTATGTATGATATCGTGATATTGTCTATAATATACAGCTTAAAAAACAAAAAAAAAAGAAATATTTATTATAAATTAAGAATATTAGTGCTTGAGAGGTTATATAATCATACCTTGACAAATGGATTATTCACTAAAGTGAAAAATTTGTTTTCTATGCTGAATATTTTATATAACTTTATATAACTTATTAAGTAGTAAATATTATGCAAGCGAAACAGAAGCGAACGAATGAATTTAACAATTTTTCACTAACTTTGACATAAAAATTTAGCAGTTACTATTAAAGCATGAACATGATAAAATCTGTGTGTAGTTATTTTCGTGACATGTGACGTATTTCTGTATTTGTGTTTTTAAATTTTATTTAATGTTGTTACTAAACAGTGTTACCATTTCGGCCACAAAACACAAAAAGTGACATAGTAATTATGAAGTTTCATCGTGACAAAAAATTATTTGAAGTTTCATTCGAGAAGAAATTATTCAAAAATTATTGAAAGGAAATTATTGAAAAAAAAGAGCGATAATTTTATTTACATTGAAAATTAAATTCAAATTACTATGATTTTGAATTCTAATCCAAAAAAGTAAGTGATTGTAGTAATTTATTAAAATAGTAAATAATGAAATAACGGATATGAAGAAAATTTAATATAATAATGACAGATGTTTTCAATTTTTCCTATATATTTTATTTGAACGTAAACAATTCTTAATGATAAACTTGCCTTGTCTTGCTAAAATTTCTGTGAGCTAACGTACATAGAATAATTATTTAATAACTTTTAAATACAATCTAATATTTGTTAAATATTACTGATTTTATTAATATTTGAAAATGATTTAAATAATTAATTAGAAAAAAAGAAAAGGAATCAAAATTCATATTTTTTACTTTACATGAACTGCAATATGATTACTAGTAAAAAAACCTAACGATATTAGTAAAAAATGTTAGAAGGATTAAGAACTAGGCTGCGATTTTTTATGTGAATTCATATTTTTATGAATATGATTAGAGAATCTCAGTAAAAAACTTGTTTTACTTATTAAATATTATAAAAAACATTATATTTTCCAACATTATGTGCATTATATGTAATTTTGCATTTTAAAAGTTCATTTAAGTAGATAGAAATCTATAAAAATTTGATAAATTTAAGTAGATAAATCAGTAGATTCATTTAAGTAGATAAATCTATAAAAATCTATAAAAATACATAAAAATATCCATTTAAAATATGACATATATATTACTTGTTATTTACATACGAAATTTACAATAATTAAATCTTTACTGAGAAATTCTTAGCTAATTAGATTCTTAACACATCTGATGTTGCAGAATTAATCCATTCACTAGAATTTTTAATGGTCACCAATTTTAAACATTTCATATATATATATATTAATATGTATATAATTACGGAGATTTTGTTCTTTGGAGTATTCTGTCGATCATAAACATAACACAATTATTTTTAATTTTTGGTATAATCTCTTCATCGTCATATAAGTTGGTCAACATATATATATATATATATATATATATATATAAAACATATTATATATATATATAAACATATATTATATATATATATATATAAAATGATGACATATAATATAATGACTTTATATTAACACTAAAACATTAAATAAATATTTGTAATAGTTTACATTCTTACGTAAAGTTCAATATAACAAGTAGATATAAGTAAGACATTAATTTTGTTTCATATAATTCAAAACTTAAGATTATTTTTATAACGATGAATAGATTGAAGATTAAATGATACTGGAGCCTATATATTTTTATTTTATTCTTACATAATTTTATTTACACGTAATAAATATAGTCTAAAGTTTATTATAGTCTATAGTCTATAGTCTAGAGTTTATTAAGTCTAAAATTAATCTGAATATAATTTAGTTTAAATAGATCAATTTAATGGTTCATTCTCTACAAAAGAATTAAAATATTCATTAAATATTCATAAATCGTTTCAAAACTATTGTAAAATAGTTTAGCTCAAAAATTAATTTTAATTATTTCATTCTTTACGACAAATCTATAATAAAATACCCTTGAAATATTGGATAAAAATTAAGAAAAATATTCGTTATTAATAACATTAATTGCAGTTTTATTTTTTAACATTACTAAAAAGTAATCCCATTGTTATATCTTTAAAAAATTCCAGAATACTTATCACTTGGAACGTAAGCATCGAAGTGGTGTCAGGGACTTAGTATGTTGCTAAATGAGTTAAATACTAACTGCGATGAGTAACGTGCAGTAAAAATCAGATTACACATGTGATTTTAATAAATCGACAACTTATCAATTTAAAATTTTTGCAGATTTTGTTTTGAAAATAATTACCAGTTAAAACAAAATTCTAGTTCAATAGTTATGTAAATATATATTTTTGGAATTTATTATAAACAATCTACTGTCCTTATTCTTAATAAAAA